CTTAACGGCCTACTCCCAGTTGGCTTGTTAGCTCAATTGGTAGAGCGCTACACTAGTATCGCAGAGGTCCGTGGTTCGAATCCCGTTCAGGCCTGATTTTTTTCAGGTCTGATTTTCGCTATTGCTTTTAAAAATAGCGCTATCTACTGCGAGGATCGTGCATCATACGTATACTTCTAAGCGTCACCCGTTACACATGGCATTCTGACAAAAATTTTTCTCAAAAAGTTTATGTTAATTAATTCGTTTCAAAGAGCACCTCGACCTCCTCCCTCCTTCCTGCCGCCAGAACAGGTAAAATTTACTGCGAATAAAAAGATCAAATTCCTAAAGCGTAGCAAGAAAAACAGGCTCATCGTTGACATTGTTCGGCGGCTGGGCATAAAGAGAGCCAGAACTTGAGAAGTTTAGTCATTATTTGACCCCTCGTGGACATACTTGAGGCTGCGGCAAAGTGCACGGAAGCTGTGCGGCTTCCTAAACGACTTGTGGTTTTTTGGATTTTCTGAGTTGTACAAGTGATTGGAACCTTCCAGCTGCTATGATAAATATTTCATAAATAATACAATGAGGCCTCGTGGTAGCTTATTAATAATATTGAAATATGTTATTGACCAAGCGTGAGGTCAAGATGGCTGAATATTGGCCGAGTTTATATTTTGCGTCTTTATGCCAAAAAAGAGGAAGTAGGCTAATATCCAGCCACCTTGACCTAACAAGCTTGGTCAATAAAGGACTTTTTGTATAGCAAAAAGATCATCGCTTTATTAAGAATCCAGACTCGTTCATTTCGAGAGACAGAAAGCGAACTGTTTTTGTAGCACAAAAAACTCACGAGAGCCGTTTATGTATTCTTTGTTTGTTCGCTTTTTGCGACTTTACCGTCGACGCTGTCCAAAATTACGAGGATTGTATTTCTGCCCAATTGATTCTTTCCCTTGCGCGATATCAAAGTGGGCAACCCTGAGCGGGTAAGATGAGCCCATCTTGCCCGCTCGGGTAGGCAATAAGAGCACAAGATTCGTTTCATCTTGCCCACGGGCGCTGCCAGCTATTTAATTATAAGACTTGTGAATTTTAGCATGCATAAACAGTACGTCATAGGCCATTGAAGTTGAATGAACGAATGAATGAAAAACTTTTTTTAAGTGTCTATGTTTTTAGCTGTAAGCTAATGATGGACCCTAAAAAATTTAAAAGTCAAATAAATTTACATATGTAGATAATAGTTATTTACAGTAGATAATAGTTATTTACAGTAGATAATTAAAAGATTATAAAGTTATTTAGTTAAGTTTTAAATTTCAAAGAGAGTTGAAAGGTCGACTTTTCTTATGTTTTTCTTGAACGAATTTGGAGTTTTTATCGCTCTTAGGTGTCTTGGTAACTTCGACCAGATGAGAGGTCCCATATATTTAATAGAATTCCTACCAAATCTTACAGTTTCGAATCTTGGCAGTTCGAAGTCACTGTTCCGTAAATTATACTGAGTGTTCTTTACATTAAATAAGTCAGAAAGAAACAGTTGATCTTTATTTTAATTCTGCGAAAAAGACACAAAGTACATTATTTCAACGGATCATTATTCAGACTGAAACGTAATAACATAACAAGAAATTTATATTTTCCAAGAGTTTAAAGGATCACCTTCCAGAAAACAAAATTTAAAAGCGGAATTGCATCGCGCTGTAACATACAAAGTTGCCAAAGTTGCATAATTTTTCATTGCTTTACAGTGGGGAAAACGGCCGTCTGGGTAAATTTTGAAGTTTACGATATTTCGGAGAAAGCAAAGCGCAATAGAACTATTTGAAACAATTTTTGAAAAAGTCTCATCAAAAAGGGCCTTTAAGATAATAAAATAAATTACGAACTTTTACAACTGTCGGCGGATTCTCAATATTTATGGTCAGTGGTGCTTGAAATTTAATTCAGGTATTACTTAGTAGACTAATCGTCGTTGGAAGAGAAAGATCCTTTCCGTAAGATCAGAGAAGAAGAAAAAGTCATCCTGATAGTCATTTAACTCGAGTTTGCTTGCCAAACTGATACTGTTTTTCTTGAAACGCGGCTTCTTTTGCGATTTCCTAATTGATAGATACTTATTAGTAAACGTTTTAACGTTTGCTTAAAAGCTTATCACTACGCGACTAAAAAAATGTTTCGGTGGAGCTTTTTTCTTTGATTTGCAATACATCTGTTTTGTCAACCATCTAGTCGCCCAAAAATTATTCGTTTTATGAGGATCTCGCCGTAGTTACAGCCCTGAATCATTAGGGTTATTTTGGAAAGCATCTCGTTTGGTAAGAAATAGACAACTTTTTTGAGAGATATGTTTAGGCATGCTTATGTACGGTGGCCCAGAAGGCTCAACGCACACAAAAAATATACTGTAGCAAATAAAAAATATACTGCAGCAAATAAAAAATATACTGCAGCAGCCAAAAAATATACTGCAGCAAATAAAAAAGTCAAAACGCAAAGAAAAAAAGTACCGCCGGAAATAAAAAAATGCAACGCAAACAAAAAATACTGCAGCAAATAAAGTATGCAACGCAAACAAAAAAAAGAACACGCAAAAAAAATTGGAACGCAACGCCAAGAAAGACTGGGTAATAGTTCTTCGTTCCCGCCAACACTCGTTCCATCCTTTGCTTGTTCGCCTTTCCGAAACCATGTTTTGCAGCGAACTTATGACAGTACCATGCTGCTCCTTTAAAAAATCGATAATAACTCTATTTTCATAACCTTGATGAAAGTAATCTTC